CAGTAAGTTAAAATAATCATATAATATAAAAATGAACTTATTTTTGTACCTAACACCTAAACAGTTGTTTTATTATATAATTTAATATAGAAAATTTAAATCATTTGTAGATACATTTCAAAAAATAAATTATAGGTCCACATATTACTTACCATTATTTTATTAAATAAAATAAACTAAAATAATGATATTTAAGCTACAAGTCCACGCTTTAGGCATATATTAGTTAGGGTAATTATTATAGGTTATATATAAAAATATTGTCAACATATAATTTTAGTTTTTACATTTACTTCTTTCAAAAAGTAAAATCTGGTGGTATTAATAATATTTCAAAAATTATTATCCACATTACTATCATGAGAACAAATTTGAAGGTGTCAAATAATATATATTTTTCTGCAAAAGGAAAATTTTAAATTGATTTTTTTAGAAAAATTAATAGTAAAATCAGAAAATCACAAGTCAGAACAAAAATATTTAGTAGCATTAAATATGTTGTTCATAGGTTATTCTTGGGTATTACATATTAATTGTTTTCTCCATAGAGATCGCTATAAATATTTTAAATCGGTGAAACATAATCGGTACTTTTTCTAAAAAACAATAAGCAAACTGCGAATTTCTCTGGAAATTTTAAAAACGATGAAAAAAACGGTTGTTAGACCTTACACTAGGTCAGCAGTGCCGCGACAACGATGGACTACTGATCTTCACCGCTATTTTGTCCAGATCGTCGAACATCTCGGTGGCGAAAGAAGTAAACGATTATTTTTCTCTTTTCAAAAAAAAATAATTAAATAATAAATTCAGGGCATGTTTAAAAAACAATATCGCCATTGAAATCGATAAATCTAATCTTTTATGTTATCCATTCTTATACTTCTCCCCTTTCAATTTCTCGATTACTCTATCATTTTAATATTTCACACGAATTTTTTTTGTGGACAAAATTTCTCTTATCATATTATCCATAAAATTACAGGCGCAACACCTAAGAAGATTTTTCTGTTAATGAGTGAGAATGTGAGAATACTCAAAATTTCACATGTGAAAAGTCATCTCCAGGTTTTTATATATATACATTATATTAGATATACATGCATGGATGTATAGTCTCATACTTTATACTTATGATCTTAGCTGATGTATATATTGAATCAAATATATCTGTTTACTTTAACTAGATGTATAGGAACAAGAAGAAGGCAGAGTCCATACAAGGTAAATAAATATCATATACACATTGAGTATAATGTTATATAAATATGTTTGAATTGTAAATTTCAAATTTGCATAGCCCAATCTATTGATGTTAAACATAACTCATTTATTTAAGGGTGGATTGAAAGCGGATATCCTAACTTTGTTTAAAATATCCATGATTCGATCTATTTTGTCTGCATACTTGTCTGATCCATATAAGCTCTGCAACTATTTAATATTCGTTGAAATTTGAATATTCAACCAAATATCCATTAAACTTTGAGATTTCAACTGGATTTCTGATTTTAG